TCGAAATAAAGAATAAGTTTTAAACATAATCTCTTGTCTGCTTTTGATTTAGTTTTCTGTGTGAATTCTATTTCAAACTACATCATTTATATCTTGAATCTTCTGTGTGAATTTTCCTGATATAATACTATATCCAATTCTTCTTTGTGAATTATTTGAATATATTACATCATGTAACTAGAAGGTTACATTCAGTTTATGAATATAAGTATTATCAAACTATTCAAAGTCAACTACAAATAATTATATTATTAATATATATTATATTAATTCAAAAGAAATATTAATATTGAATAGTTAAGTATATATTTTACATATTAATATAGTATTATTATATATAATATAATAATATAATTTAATTATATTTTATTTTAGAAATAAGTTAAATATAAAACAAGTAATTAATTATATTGCTTAATCATGATTTGAAATAATATCTATGACAGTGCAAAACTATTAGTAAAAGATAGATATCTGTTATAATACTCAAGAATTAGAAATTCAAAAACTTAAGATGCCAATAACTACAGAAATACTTAGTAAACTGCCAGCAAATATACAAATACTTATTTAAAATCTTGATAATTATATTATTATAATAGATAAACTGATTGTAACTAAAGATATTCTTGAAAATAATGAAATTATAAAAATAGTTTTGATAGATGCAGAAATTGAAATCAGAATAATTGAAGACTCTAAAGAGGAATTAGAAGAATTTTCTTTAACTTTAGTTATAATTACTAAAGAATATGAAGTATTGCAAAAGATCATGAGATTTGAAGAGCAATTAGAAGAGAAAAATTCTAATATAAAAAAATTGTAATTATTTAGAAAAAGATTATATGATTATGAAAAAATATATAAAAATTCAAAAAAATAAGTATCACTTGACAGATATTTTGTTAATAATATCAGAATCTGATTGATCAATAAATATTATAAAATATTTTGTTATATAATCTTGAATAATTTCATAAGAGAATACCTTTATGATAGAATATAATTTAATTATTTCAATCATATTCTTTTATAGAGGGTCAGAATAAAAATAATAAAAATTAAAATTTTCTAATTTGATAATAAAAAATATAAATTTATAATTAAGTATATAATATATAAATTTATAATATAAAAAAATATATAAAAAAATATATAATAAAATATATAATATATATAAGAAATATATAATAAATTATATAATTAAATATATGAATTTTATAATATAAGATAAATAAATCTGAAAAATATAAATTTTATAATTCAAAAAAATTTGATTTATTAATTATAATAGAAAATTAATATTAATAAAAGATATATAATTAAGAATAAAAATATAATTTATATTAATAATAATATTAATAAAATATAATATAAAATTAATATTAGCAAGAGAATTTTATAAATAAAAATCTATTCTATAATTAATATTACTAATAGAAAAATATTATTATTTATAAAGTTGATATTAATAAAAGATAATTATATATGAATTAATATAAGTTTAATAATAATATTGAAATTTTTAAAATATTTAAAAATATAAATTATAATCTATTAAAATTTATTAAAAAGTTATTTATAAATAAATAATTATAATATTTAAGATATAACTAGTTAGAATATAATTTAATTTAAAAATATAAATATAATAAATAATTTATTAATAAAATAAATATTATAAATTTTTATAAAATTTATTTTATAAAAACTATTTTTTAATATTTAATTAATAATTTAATAATTTATATCAATTTTATATCAATTTAAATTATTTTTCTCTAGCTAAAATATATTACTTTATATATTTAAAGATTTTATAAATAATATTTTAGCTATAATACTTATATTTTAATTATTAATTTAATTAATATTATAATACTAATTTTATTATAATAATATTATTAGTTTAGCTATAATAGTTTTGCTAACTTTGCTATGATAATTTTGCCATAATCTTTATGCTTGTAAAATATTCTATAAATATTTTCAAATAATATCTTCTTATACTAGTACCTAATAAAATATAACTAATTAATTATTCAATAAGATTATAATATAAATCAATAATAAATGATAAATAATATTCTTAATAAAAGTAATAAAAGTTCATATTATAATACTATCTTTTATGCTCTTCATTATGCAATTTACTATAACATATCTATCTTAATCCTAATCCTAATCCTAATCCTAATCCAAACATTAACATAAACGAAATTTAAGTTTTCCGATATCATTTGTGCTTATCTCGTGAACGGAAAATCGATTCAATTTCTAACAAATTAGGTTTGAATTTGAATTTTTTATTGGTTATGGGCTCATCAGCCTCACAAATAGTGATCGACCCATATGATCGGCACTGATTCGGTATGCATTAGTGATGCAGAGACTTTTATGATTTAAAATTTATAAGTATACTCCGTTACAAACTAAATCCGCTACTATATCAAAAATCAAATCTCGTTAAATGTGTTGAATTATATAAAATGCGAAAAAATATAGTCAAGCCAGTGAGTTCTCATGAAAGAAATATAAGCAAATTGTACATGATAAAAGTTTCTTGTAATAATAGGTAGTGGCCGCTAAAACACCGACTAATTATTGAAACTTTGCTGTTCTCGCATTACCTGACTGAAATTTCCAGGGCACGAATTAACGAAGTGTTGGGAAACATAAAGAAATTTAAGATATTTGTCAAGTTTTTATCAGTAAAGTTAGCCACAAAGTAATGTTGAATTTCGGTCGGATTGTTCCGAAAACAGTCCGAATTCAGCAAAATTTGACTTTAGGACTGGTATAAATCGAAATCACTGATAAGGCATATTTAAATGCTATAATGAGTTCTGATTTGTTAGATTGTCACGCAGATTTACTCTTTTTAGAAATAACTTTCAATTCCGAGAAATGAACGACAAAATGGATTCATTTTCTTGTTTAATTATTAAATCGATTATCTTCGATAATCGAGCAGCAGCAAAAAAACGTAAACAAGTAAATATTATGGGTATACTGTATTGCGTTGCATGAAGCATCCTACCTGTAGAAAATTAATAAAGATAATTGTTATTTTTACAGGATGAATAATTCAAAGGTAATCTCAATCAACGTCTTTGAGGTTTGACATTAAGTATTTAAAAGAGAGGGTATATGGTGTAAGAAGATCGTGCACACAATGAATGCAATCAAACTTTTTTCCTAAACAGAACCAATTATTAGAAGGTGATTTTGTATCACCGCATCCACGTATAAAAAGAGAGAAACATGCCAAGAAATCTGTGAATTCTTTTAAGAAAATGCCAAGACTTTTGTTGGGTGTTACGACGCGCGAGGTTTGATGATTACACACACAATAGAATTTATGTCAATAATTTAGATGTTGTGTGAATATGCAATTTTTTCCTTATTATTAAATTTTTTGTGCCGGAAAGTGATTAAGCTTTTAACCATTATTGTACTAGGGTCTCATATATTTGCTATTAAAAATGTTCGATTTTGGGAATAAGCTTGTCAGAGAAGTGGTAAGTAAATATACTAGCGATTCATTTACATTATATGATTAAAAAGAAACAAAGCATCAAATGGCACATAAAAATATAATATTTGATTTCATTTAAATATAGTTTTATTCTTTTTTCTTATTCTTTGTTTCTTTTTCATTTTTATAAATGTCTAAATAAATCTTTTTGCCATTAAATGATTAATAATATTTCAAGTAGAAACTTTAAAATAATAAACTTGAATCAAACTAATATCGTTCATTATCTCTACCCAACCTCTTTTTTTTTAACCTATCTAAAGCGCGAAATTGAATACTCGCACTGTAATAACACCATCATAGTAATAATAACTAGTATATAAAGAAAAGAAAACCTATTAAGCCAGTTAACCTATCTAAAGCGCGAAAATTGAATATTCGCACAGTAATAACATTACAGGATCATAATAGCTAGTGCACAAAGAAAACCTATTAAGCCATTTAGTTATTTCCCAAGAAATAATAATATTGACACAAACAAAAATAACTTTTATCAATTATGAGAATTATACCAATTTCAACTTTCGAACATCATTACTCATATCTTATCGTAGACGATAAAGCAAATGAAGGTAGGTGAGGAATGCTGGCGCGATTTAAAATTTAAATTAAATAAAACACATTTTCTCTCTTTATTTAGCTGCTGCCGTAGACCCAGCAGAACCGAGCAAAGTGATGCAAGTCCTTGCTCAAACCGGAGCGAAACTTACCTCTATCTTGACTACACATCATCACCAGTAAGTAAAAAATTGGCTATAAAAAAGAATTGAATCGGAAAAATAGTTAATCCTTTTAATTTTCATAAAAGAAAACATGCTTATGGGAATATTGAATTGGTACACAAGAAACCAAATCTTGCTGTTTACGGAGCCGACGCTCGAATACCAGGTTCACTTTATATTTCTTTCTTATATAACTTATTTCTTCTTCCTTAATATTTTTTTCTAAATACGTGATCTTTGGTAGAATTGAATTATGTATGCAAACATAACGAGGAATTCACGGTATGCAAACACATTATTGTCTCATTGATCGGCTAATTAGCCACTAGTAAATCACGTGGTTTATGATTTTTCCTATAGGTTGGCACTCTAAAAGTTCGATCTTACCACACTCCTTGTCACACTAAAGGTCATGTATGCTATTATGTTCGAGATGGTAATGAATTGAATGAGGAGTTGGAAAAAGCGGTGTTTACTGGAGACACTTTATTGATTGGTAAATTAATTACTGTTGATCTTTTTGATTTCATCTTCATTCTTCTGACATCATGTTTATTATTTGTAATCCAGGTGGATGCGGGAGATTTATCGAAGGGGAAGCCAAAGATATGTACAATGCATTATATAATGTATTAGGACGATTACCAAAGGACACCAAAGTTTACTGTGGCCATGAAAGCACATTATTAAATTTACAGGTAACTATTTAATATAAATAAATAATTAGTTTCGTTGACTATCCTATTAATAATGGTCTTTCTCTTTTCGTTAGTTTGCAAGTACAGTAGATCCGAATAATCAGACTTTACTTGTAAGTTTTTGATTGATTCTCATTATATTATGATTTTTTGAAATATAACCTTTTATTTAAAACATACAATTTCAGAAAAAGTTGGCATGGAGTCAAATGAATCGTTGCACTGTTCCGAGTACATTGGGTGAAGAATTGGAATACAATCCATTCTTACGAGTCTCGTAAGTCCATAATGAAAATTAATTCAAGATAAAAAATATAAGATAATAATTCGCCTCAAATTTTGTAGGGAACCAGCGATACAAAGTGCCACTAATGCATCAGATCCATATGAAGTAATGGATATATTGCGAACGTGGGCAGATAATGGATCTTTGAACGGATCTTTGAACGGATCTTTAAACGGTGTAATTAATAGCTCTCTGAACAGTAATCTAAATGGAGCTATAAATGGCATGTTAAACGGAGCACTAAATGGCGGTACCGTGAATGGACATTTGGTTTAAAAATTATGCTAAATGAATTTATAATAATGGGAAATGAAGTAGAAGGGATGGGAAGGGGAGTCGGTAATGGTGCATGTGTTGTTAATTAAGCGAAATATGAAACGCAAAACCTGAATTAAAAGCAATATGGCTAACTAATTATAAACCAATTTTGTTATGAGCTTTGCAATTTTCCAAGGCAACGATATGAACTAAAAACGCATTTTATATTTCAATATCCAAAGTAAAAAAATAATTTGGAAAAGTAAAATTTATATATCGATATTACTTTTCCTCTATCTAATCTATTTTCTTATTTCTTATCATAACAGTGAGGTTAAACGCGATAATGGTGCCACAGTTTCCTTTAAGTTTTTCTTTTTAATCGTTTGACATTCACTTAAATAAAAAATAATTTCTCCTTGTATAGCAAAGCTTGATAACTAAGTTTTCCTTTCATTTTCTTTGCTTATTCGCTTTTGTTCTTCATGCTATTTCACAAAATAATAAGCAACAGCAAACTGAATAAAATCTTTTTTTCCTTTTTCTTTTAGAACTCAAGCTTGGTTTTTCCGTTAATTGCTTTTGATACCTTTTTTTTTTGATATTTTCGCAATGGGTTGGGTGTGAGCAAAACGACGAGATTTATATCGGAAATCCTCACCAAAATGTATCGGCATTTAAACCAATCAGCGATGTCACACCAAAAACCGAAACTTTTGGGATTTGATTAGATTGTGAGAAACGAGCGGCTGCCTTTTCTCCCATGCAATCACACAATTATTTACAGCGAATATAACGGACGCTAATTAAACCCTCAATATAATGAATCGAATCCAGAACAGCATAAATCCTATTTTGATATAATGGATTTTTTTTTAGTAATGTCTACCACCGTTCTTATTAATTTGTCACCCGCATTTCCTATTGGTCATCATTCAATAACCAATAAAAATGCAAAACAAACGATGCTTAAACCTAAGTTAAAAATGTCGGTGAGGCAATTTTATATATAATCATGATATTAACCCAATTTTTCTTGAATCGGAATGTAGGTTTTAAAATCTAAAATTTTTTGTCTATGAAAACACTGTTCCAACGAAAAATGTTCCTTCCGAAAAGTTTATTATTAAACTTCGCGTGGAATATATGTGTTGTGCCCAAAATCACAAACTGTCTCAAATGATAATCGGAATGTCCCAAATCAAAATCCTAACCAAATATTAACAATCTCCCAGCACTAACCCATATTCTTAGGGCTGGTTGTGATATATTCTTAACTCCAATCCTAACCTTACTTTCACCGTATTCGATTGGTTTACCCCTTAAAGATTATCACGTGACCCGGAAAGCGGGTGGTAGAATTCTTTTCTAAATAAGTTTTAATTACACGCGGAGAAAGAAAGTCACTAAACACTTTACTAATTAGCAATTACTATATGTAATAGCCAATATTTGATATCTTATTGATTTACATTAATTTTTAATATATATATCTGACTATGTAATAGTATTAATTTCTTATAAATCTTATTAGAAATCATTTTATATTTCTTTTCAATTTGAAAAATCTTTGTTGTATTCAAAATATTTTTTTAATATAATAATATAATAATATAATATGATCCATTGTGAAAATTTTGATATATCAGATAAATATTAATAAATTATTTTTTCAAACTAAAATTATTAATTCTATTTTATTTAATTAAGTTATTAGATATTAGGATTTATTTAAATATAAAAATTTTTATTATATATCTTTTATAAAAAAA